TTTTATCTATGGTAGTGCTTAGACAAGTTATAAGGCATAAATGTACACATACTTTGCCAGACGGTCAATACCAAATATATACTTCTTTTCCCTTTAGTTTAACTAAAACGGCGAAAAGGGTTATTATAATTAATTTTAATAATTAATTGTAAGATAAGTATCCCACGTCAAGAATTTTGAAAATTTTTATTGTCTTAAAACAATATTACTATCTTCATATTAAGGCGGATAAGTTTGTTATTGGTCGTATTATTTTATATATTGTTATGATTATTAAATACTGTTGGACTATAACTAAAGGTTTTAAAATAACTATTGCAACGTGTAATATGATTGTAGCTAAATTTATTGTTCCGAATTACAATTTAATTTTGACTTGTTTACGCTAATAATTATTTGATCATTTCTAAATTTTTTATTTGTTTAATTCTTATTTGCCTCAAAATTATTGTATTATACGAAAATTCGCATATGTGAATGTACCATTAATTTATCGCCATCGTAAATGAGAAGAACATACATTATTGTTGTTGTTGGTAATGTTGTGAACAATTCAGGCGAATGTATTTTTTTTGTAATTTTGTTGTACAGTACCGGTAGTTCATTTCTTGTTGAACGTATTTTGGAATGATGTGACCCTGAGAATAGTCAAAACTTAACTGTATTAATAATCTATGAAGTTATTTTTTTACCAAAGAAATACAAAACAACTTCCATCGTGTCATTGTTATTCATGTAAAGCTCGCTTATTTTTTTCTTTAATGTGTTCCTTCGTTTTCCTCGTTTGTTGCTTCCGATTTTGTGGGCGTAGTGAAACTGCCCCGACGTTTTGGGTACTTTTGAAACGATGAAACTGCCCCGCTCATTAAAAAGGATTAGCAAGGGTCGCCTCGCAAGACTAGAAATGCTGAAATTGCCCCGAGCACCCGGCCAGGTAGTAGCTGCAGGATTGGGGATAAAAGGGAATTATTTTTGTCCCTGAGCCCTATCAGTGACTGCAGTCTTCTAAAGCTGCCGTCGACTGCTTTTCCTGCCAAGCCACAATTGTTTCTGTACCAATACCTAACCCAACCTAACCTAACCCAACCTAACCTAACCCAACCTAACCTAACCCAACCTAACCTAACCTAACCTAACCTAACCCAACTTAACCTAACCTAACCTAACCTAACCTAACCTGAAAAAAAGCTAGAAATTCCTGATATTGGTGGTAGTTATTAGAAGACTGCAGTCACTGACAGAACGCAGGAACAACAATAATTCCCTCTTTTTGTTTCTGTAGTACCAATACCTAACCTGAAATAAGCTAGTAATTCCTGATATTTTGTGGTAGTTATTATAAGACTGCAGTCACTGACAGAACGCAGGGACAACAACAATTCCCTTTCCCCCAGACCCGTAGCGGTTACCTGGCCGGGCGCTCGGGGCAAATTCAGCATTTTTGGTATGGCGAGGCGACCCTTCTTGATGCTCTGTAATGAGCGGGGCAGTTTCAGCATTTAAAACTTACCTAAAATATCGGGGCAGTTTCATCGTCCCCGATTTTGTAACTCAACTCAATACCGGTATTTTATTTTATTTATCTTGTAGGCTATGTTTTCTTTTTGTTTGAACTCATTTGAACTAGCCTCGCTCTCTTTAGGACGTGCGTCCTGTCATATTATAACACGATTTTGAGTTTATTCGATCAATTAATTTTGGCTATCATTGGACAAGCTAGCCATTTGGTCATTTGGGCAGGATCGTTTGTCATAGTTTTATTGACTATACAGTAATTGAGTATTTTGTCTGTATTATTATCAATAGATTAAACTTATGTAAACAGTATACTATGTACAGTGGAATAACTGCAGTAAAAGATTTGACCTTTTGACTAGTGACGTGGTCTGTGTAGTCGGATGCCGTTGTAGGAGACCACGACGTGAGGCTTGGCGCGGTCACGAGACTGTGTTATCTCATCTGCTGCATTCTCTTTGAACCTACAATGTCTTATTGTAAAAATAATAATACCCCCGCCGCAGCAAACCTGCAGACTAAGCGAATTTCCATTAACCTGATTGGGTTTACACTAAAATGCCTCCATAAAAATAGCACATTTATTTCCTATTTAAATAGAATTAGTTTAACGAGAACTTAGGTTTGCTGCAACAGGGAGAGTAAAAAAGATTTTTTTTTATAAAATGATAATAGTTTAGTAAGAAATAAAACTATTTTTCAAAATCAATCAAAATATGTTCATAAACAAGCAAACTACAACAGTTGACTAATTCTCCATAAAAATAACATGGGAATTTTAAAATTACAATTTTTTAGAATTTTCTCCGTAACAATTAGGCGCATAATAACGATTCAATATACTAAATTATTTTTTTTTTTAAGCTCTACAAAACGGTTTAAAAAGAAATTGTGAAATTTTGTGTTTTTATGGTCAAAAATGGGAAAAACCTATTTTTACCCCATAAAACCCCCCATAAACCCCCGTTCCCATAGTCCGATCATGCTGGTTCGCGAACTCATTCAAGTTTATCCCGCCTTACACCTTCAAACCAAATTTTATCAAAATCGGACAAAAATTACTCACGTTATCGTGCGGATGGACATATATAATATATATATATATATATAGATATATAAAAATTTGAACGAATGTTGTTTTTGGCCTCTGGGGACATCAAAATGAAAAAGTGAATCGGTCCCGGGCTTAGGTCTTACCATGAGACCTACGGTAATAGCTACTTCCCTATAGGGAAATTCGCTAAAAGTACAATAAGTACGTAAATTGTATCTGGGGTAGTATCCTACTAGCTTATCATGGGTTATCATGGCTAGCAAGCAAGCATCACCCGTAGGTAAATTTTTCGGCCAGGTCCAAATTCACCAACATTTTTGGGGTCGTTTCTAATGTCCAAATTCACCAACTTTCTACCTTTAGCAGGTACGATATTTCTCCCGGCGGGCGGGGAAGGAATTCCCTCCGAATAGTTTGCCATCGCCTGCTCCGTCTCGTCTCGGCGAGAGTGTACTGTAACCTAACCTAACCTAACCTAACCTAACCTAACCTAACCTAACCTAACCAAACCTAACCAAACCTAACCTAACCTAACCTAACCTAACCTAACCTAAAGCTGCCTGAAACAATCACAGCTTAAACAGTACTATTAGGGCTAAGCAAGCAGTACACTCTCGCCGAGACGAGACGGAGCAGGCGAGGGCAAACTATTCGGAATTCCTTCCCCGCCCACCGGGAGAAATATCGTACCTGTTCCAAGTAGAAAGTTGGTGAATTTGGACATTAGAAACGACCCCAAAAATGTTGGTGAATTTGGACGTAGCCAATTTTTCAATGATGGGTTGGCGCGAAGGTTTGTAGAAGTCATAGATGGAAAGCGCCTTTTTCCAGGAAAAGAATAGTTAATTATCGAAAGCATTACCGGTAACAGTGAGCAATTTGGTTTTTCCTCGATTAATAATTGTAGAACCTGAACCTCTTTCCGCGATTTGTGCTATGGCTTTTCATTGAGGAAATTGTTATTGGACTAATTTGCACATTACACCGGCAATAAAGCTCTCATTGTTTGTAATTTTTATTTCGTTTTTTTCTTATGTTATTATAGAAAAATGTTATATTACCTATAAGGCGTGAAGGTATAATTCGGCAACGTTGGAAGTGTATTTGTTTACCAGGTCGCACGGTTTGGCAACGCTGCAGTCCAGAGTAGCGCAGTCAATGAACCGTGCAGCTAGACCGCGAATAATAAGTCTATCGGCAAATGATATCGATACTCAAATCAGCCATTTCCTGTATAATATATCCCGAAACAAACGGTTTAAGTGATTCAAACTAAGCGAAAATCACCTTGACCCTTCAACAAGCTCTAGATGCTATGATTTCACGTACTATTGTTCACTATAAGCTCTTCCATTTCCTGTGTTGCCTCTCCTCTGGTACAGGGAGGGAGCGGTGATTAGAGAGGTCAAATTGACGGTGTCGCGGTCGCTTTTTGAATTAATCGAAGGCACGACTTGGCGCTGCGGGGTTGGTAGTTTCGAGTTGTTGATGTGGAATGGTGACTGGTACTGCCCTTATGAATCTGCACATTAGAGTGACTTGGATCGACAGTAGTACACGAATGAACAGTGGGCAGGTTCGTGCATTGAAACCACAGATAATAGAACACCATACAGTACTTTCGGGTCATGCTATACCAGCGCTGCAACACATACAGGTCTCGAACTAAACCAAGCGCAACTGCCGATAGAGGTCTATAAATTGGTTCCTTGGTCTATGGTTGAAACAGAGTAGGGGTTGCACTCAATATAGCTCCCACTAATCGAGATTTGTCTCAATTGCTCTAAATAAACATTTGTCGACCTCAGGAAGATAAGGATAGTATGACTGATATGGGGCTTGAGGGTACCATCATATAATTTAAAAACCCATTGCCAAAAGAAGGTTTTACGAGTTTCTACAACCAGAATTTCACTTTGACGTGGTTTGGTCAATTATGATAAAAGATTAGCAAAATATCACATTTTACTTCACCTTTTTACCGCATCATCTCAAGACTTGTGGCCGTGCGGGAATGAGATCTTGCGGAACATGGGTACAAGTATGATTCAATGCTAAATATTTCGGGAAATCTGGGTTCAAACTTCACAGTGAAATTATGACAAGCGTACTGTATATGTATATTGATCACCTTGGGTAGAACTTACCTCTTAAGTTCTAGATCCTTAGCCGATTCTACATGTATCGTTCATGAGTGTCAACCCCTTTCTAGAAACTGGACTCAGCTGTTCCTGATCATTGTGCTACAAATAAGTGATCCTGGCTGAAACAATAGATATTATCAGTAAAAAGCTACACAGACCATCTCACACCAACCTACACTCTTCCTTCGGGTTAAAACGCTCCTACCTGGCATCCAACCTCAATGATTGTTGATTGATAGTTGATAAATTCATAATACTTGAAGACGCTAATTAACCCTATTTCACAGGGTTTTGTGCTCCAAGAATGCTACCAACTCCACCGACGCCAGTGTCTCTCGGACCTTAGTGCAGTGTCGGGGATCACCGCTGTCGGAGAGTGATTGAGGACCAGCGACTCCAGCAGGGTACTGGACCCGACCGCTCCTTCCGCCTGGAGTCTAGATGGGGTGACTCTGGAGTTTAGACTAGTCCCAGGTAAACTACTTTCTCAAACTATATGCTACTTACTTGAGGGAAATGAAGTAGTCATGAAAAGAACCATAGTTGAATTGAACCAGCGACAGAGGTTGGTTCACAAACCTCAAATTGTTTATGGCACATTATAAATGTTGACTATGTGAAACCCGGCTTTAGAAAACGCTGCCAACCACACGATATATTAAGTTATGTTTGTAAACAGATGACGACATTAGTAACTTTGTATAGCCTCAAATTATGTGTTTTAATTTATGTAACGATTAGAAGGGTAATTAATTTATTCAGCCTTATGAAAATAAAAACTTGACTGCGCCTCGCTTGTAAAACACGATTGCGTACCAAAAAGAGCCACTTTCGCTCCTAGTGATGAAAACTACTATTGCGGCCAACTCATCAAATCGTTTCTCTAGCGATTGATAAATGAATCTTATGTTTATTTTTTAATAGCAGTGTTTTTTACAAAAAAAAATACAATTTACACTACTCGTACCGTATAAAACGCATACAAAGTGTAAATAATGATGAACTACATTACACAACGCCTACTCGTCGCCCTTCGCTACGTGCTCGAGTCAGATAAAGTGGAAGTTTACAGAAGTTTGTTGACTAACTTCGCTTCTCAACAGGAATTGTGAGTTCCGGTAGACTTGGGACCCAGAAACTCGTATTTTCATCAACTATTCAATTACATCACACTAGTTGTCTTTGTTATAATAGCTGTGTCATAGTTCCCGTCCCATTCATTATATATTACTTTTAAACTTTTCCTGTAATCTCCCGGACTTGTACATTTTGGTACGGTGGTGGATAATTAATTAGCTATTTTAACGTAATCTGACATGAATGAGGACAAAAGGTAGCGTAATTGACGTATTACGATATGGTATCAAATAAAAACAAATTGATTGGTTATTTAAAAACGTACCAACCGAATCAGATGCCTTTATTATTTGATATCGCAGTATACAGTATACAAAAAATACAAGATAGCACTAATCAACTTCCTCTATGTGGTAAGGTCTATGAGTTTTGAGAGTTAAAGACAATTTTAAAGAAATGCAGGTTGGGAAATTAAAATAATTATTCTTTTAAACGTCGTTGAATCGACTTTCAGCACGAGTATCAACAGAATATTTTACCAACACCAAGAGACATTTTTCGGGGTTTTTAAAATATCCAAGAGTAGTTGAGTGTAAATAATTTACCTTATTCGGTTTTTGTTAAATTGATAAATTGTTTGATTTTAAATGTGTTTATAACGCAATACCCTAACACTTATTCCATTGCAAACTCATTGATATGATAAGGCATTACATTATTTAATGTAGGAGTGTGTAAGTGATGTAATGTATCTGTTTATCAACTTTAGTTTGTATCTGTAAGTCAAGACACCATTAACCATGGCTGTCTTTTTTTAACGTCATCAAATTGGTCATATTTTTAGCGAATTTCCCATATAGGGAATAAGCTATTTTAATGCTATCACGAGATGGGCATGTCATACTCACTTATGTTTTACAATTTTCGTATTTTAGGTATAAAGTTATATAGTTAACTATTGTTAGGTCCAATTTTTTTTATTTTAAAACACCGCCTGAGAAAAGGAATGTTTTATTTTTTAACTCACCGTACATATTTTTATTTTTATTTAAGTTTGTGGTTGAGAATAAAAAGTCGACGGTAAAAACTTATATCGTTGCAGTTTAGTCTGTAGTATTTAAAATCCTTAGAACTTCCTTGTTGTAAAAACCCAAACTTGAGTTTGTTTAAAGAATTTAGAAAAAAGCACATGTTGTTTGTACCTTATCTAATCAATACAATTACAGAAACGCTGCGCATCTTTCAAGGCCGTGTTTTACTTTTAGACTTGTTTTTAAAAAGAACGACGGCCGTATCGGCGCGGGCGCGGGGCCAAAATTGGGAGCGCGAAGCCCATTTGGGCGCCGTCTTTGCGGGGGTCCATTGGGGAACGGGCAACAGAGATACATCTAACTAGTAAGTACTGTGATGGCTAATTGTGAGTTTAAAATAATCATAAGAGTAAAACAACGTTATGATTTTAGCAACATCCATCGGCATGCACTAAATTGAAACGTAAGTTTTTCTTCCCTCCAAATTTTGGTAATTTTTGGAATTGAATGCCACCAGATTGAGAAATTAAAAAAAACCAACTGATGAATATTTACCATATGACGCATCCGACCAGCGAGTAAGAATGGAAAAGTTTGATGGAGTTATTTACTAAACTGTGTAATCGCCCACTCATTAAAAAATATACAGTGGAACCTTGATAAGAGGACCCTCGATAACAAGTCACCCTTCGATAACAATTGTCATTTTAACATCCCCTCAAAATTATTTTACCCCTAATCACATGTTATTACAAACCTCGATAAGAAGTCAACCTTGATAACAAGTCTTATTTTACAATCCCCATGAGAGTCTTGTTATCAAGATTCTACTATAATCACTATCCATACATCTAACATGGATACGGGTTCATGAAATACTTATAATAGTATAAATAAGACATCACAAAAAATTGTAAATTCTATGGCCAGGTAGACTTGAGTTTTGCTACGACCTAAGTTTGTTAAGTATATTGTTAGTCAAACTGCGCACAATGTTACACCACTTTAACAATACAAATGTTTTTATTTACTATGTTGGACAGCTATTCCGTCCTTACTAGCTTTAACACTTATTTTAATTTTTATTATTGGTCTATTCAGTTTATTTTTGGTCCATGTTAAGTATTAGGCCTACAGTCAAATGTTTTGGCAACTTTCAATTAAATTTACAGTATATCGATATATTGAACACTGTATAATGCCTACTATGAATCAACCAAATATTAAGATATACAGTATCGTGCTTTCTAATAAACGTTTTGTTTTTAAAACGGATAACTATAATAAGAATCATTGTAATCTAGTTGATGATAAATATATTCTATATTTTCAAACGTTATGATTCTCTAGCTGGCTCAAGGTACGTTTACCACTTTACCACGTCTCTCCAATACCACGATACATCACGGTCACGACGCGACGTTAGGAGCGACTATTTGTCACACGGTGAAAGCCACCATCTCCGATGACGTCATTGCGCCCCGCTGCGATGTCGATAGTCAACCCATCAATAATTATCCGATAGTCGACATCACGGCCGCTGTCGTTCATCATCTAAATTCCAATATTTTAAATTTAAACATGCGAAAATGGTTTGGTTATTTTATCCAGACGATACACCGTCTACTTCTAAAAACTTTTTAGTTATTAGATGTATAAGATAATGTGTGTTTTGGACGAAATTAGTTAAAATTGTACCCTTTGTCATTTCTGTTAAAGACGAGGGAAACGTCCAAATACTTTATTTCAATACTGTTAAAAGTCTACAATTCATAGACTATGTTTTATATCGTAGCTATGATCTTCGTCGTGCAGTCGGAGTGCAATCGGATAGTTAAGATTTTACTGTTAGTTTGTTTGTTTTGGTTTGTAGGTAGTAAGAATAAAGTGAGATGATAGCTTTGTTCCTGATTCGTATGGACCCTCTCAATATTAATTTGCGTTTTCATTATGCGTTTGCGTTTTTCATTAATTTCCTACGCCGCTCAAACCTTGATTTGTTTTAGCAATGCCTACCCAATCCTTGTCATAAATGTAACACTGTGTACAACTTATTAGCTCTACAAATTATCAGCTCCCGGGATCTCCGAAATATTCATGTTTCGATAAATTCACTGAACAAATTGAAGAACCGTTTCGAAGTCCACAATATGTACTTATTTAATTCTTGGTTTTAGCAAACCTTGGCACCTTCTATGAAACCCCTCCTCATAATTTACATAACATCCACTGTGTAGGCTATACAACTAAATATTCTTCCTTTGTGAAACGAATGTGTACGTTTCAAAGTTAACAACAATTTTTTCAACCACGGTTCGAGCGAACCTTGGTCGTTGCTTTTATACAAATCCATACCATAAATTTATCACTGTGTGTATTTCGTCGAAAATTAATTTAATTATTAGCTCTCGATCACTCCCAATAATGCAGTTGAATTGTGCTTTATGTAGATTGTGCTTATGTAGAGGCCTATATCCAAACCCAAATATTTTTCCTCTTGCGATTCTCCATCCCGCTATAATTTTCTCACCCACACGGATCACATCGCCTCCACCCCTCGACTTCCTGGTGACCTCAGGCGGTAGTCTCGGGTGTACCATGAGTCACAGTCCTGGCGACGCCCAGGGGCTGCCTGCTGACTGCTTCTCGTTTGCAGTTCCCTGAAGTCTGCGTCAGTGGGCTCAGCTCGGGCAGTTATGTGCTGACGTATGATGTTCACACACACACACACTGCACTATTTGATGACTCCATACAACACCCTTTGAAGTGTCGACTGTTCAAACTCTGTTTTACTGCTTCCTTTTGATCTTGGCAAGTTTTCGCCCCGGAATAGATGTGTATGTGAAGATCGGCATTTTGCAGATCCATTGATTGATTTCACTATTGAAGTATGCCTCCAATGGTATTCCTATGGACGTTTCACATACTGATTGAAAGATACAATTGGAACCTTGAGTGGAGACAGGAAAATTCCTCATTCTGTGTATAACTACGTTGTGAACGGTATTGTTTATGTTTCTCGGTGCATAGTTAGATTTGGGTGTTTATTCCATTTTCGTTGTTATATAACTATTTTCGATGTCTCCAGTCGCAAGGTTACGATGGTTTATTGTTTAGTTGTACTGTCATACATAAGTGTTTGAACAAACGGCTGATGATAGGATTGTGTCTTTACGTAAAAATTTTAATACGATTTCAATTCCAGAGCATTGCGTTGTCTACGCTCAATTTTACGTTGAATCTGGTAAAATGTACACAATAACGAATAACACAATGTATTCCCCGAATACTTCATTTAATGGGCTTTATTTAGCTGCACATTCACAATGATAAAATGATATTTTCCTACTATAAAATCAATACCT